ATTCTTTCCATCTTCTCTCAGGAAGAAAGGCACATGAAAAAGGACCAGCTTCACAAACACGAGGAGAGAGCTTTATTGCTCAGGGAGACAGGAGCCTGAGCAGAGTCCCGGGATAATCACAGAGAGAAAGAAACGGTGCAAGGCGTCCGCCTCCTCCCCGCCCGCCTTCTACGTGAACCAGGGTGGGCAGCCACCGCGAGACATCTGGGAGGGAGCTGGCCACAGGGCACATGACCCAAGTGCCAAGGCACCCATCAAGTGCACTGTGCCCCGGAGGTCCCCAGGGCTCTGGAATCCCCTCCTCCAGGAAGAAACCCAAGACAAACTCGGAATCTGGGCAGAGTGGGCACACAAGCTAATTCTGAGGTGCAGGACCAGGGAAGCAGCCTGCGGGGACTGCAGAGTCAGACAGCCTGTCCCTCGTGGGCTTTATGACAAAGCTTCTTAAAATGTCCTCGCCCCGTCCTGCTGCTCCCCGAGGGTGGGCCTTGCATGTCAAGCCCTGCCCTGGCTGGAGTCCAGCAAACACAGGCCCTTGGGCTCAGTGCCTGAAATCCTGGTGGTCCTACATGTTATACCTGAGAAAACCACGTGACATCTGATCAATTCAATTTCCCAAATGAGGTAGTAATTCAGCCTGGAATAATGAAGCGGGGCGGGGGTATAGATGACTATTTATCCAAAGGTAATCCTAGGAGAATTGATTGCTGATGCAGCAGTTTTGTCGGGCTTCCCTGTGGGTTTTAACACCTGTGTCTAAAGGATAATGACCCCCCGCCTTTGACTTATCTGGGGTTTTGTTGACATGATGCCACTACAACTGGTTTTTATCAGCTTTTAAGCAGTTTTAGAGATACAACGGCAATTATGAAATGTCTCTTCCAAGACATGTGGTGTTGTGGGTGACAGATCTTGCTTCTTAGCTAAAGGAGGAAGAGAGACCTAGCTGCCACCAGAAGTACAGCTCATGCCTGTGCAGAGCAAGCAGAGAGGATCTGCCACAGCATCACTCCAAACCAATGAGTGCTGAAAACAGAGTCTGACCGCCCGCTGACCGCATCCCCGGGCTCGCCCTCTCCTCCCGTGCAGCTTTGGAGTAGTCATGAGAAAAGGGAGATTCTCCCGTCAGGTTCAGTTGTGTATATTGTCTTGGCCCCTGCCTGACTGTAACCTCAACAGCCCTTTTGGCATTGGGACAATGGAGGGTGGACAGCTGCTTGTCACTAGGAGAGCTCTGAAGGGTGTGTCGGCTGCTATTTGGACTTGAGTGGCCAAATGGGCTCTGGACAGAGTGGTTCCGTTTCATCCACACACCGTCACTGCGGCAGTGGTGTGCTGCTAGATGCTTAACAGCCGGCTCTTGGGGAGAGAGGCCTGACTTGAAGCTGATTTTCATGGTACAGAAACTTGCACCATGGCTGATCGAAAACTACCAACATGACAACCCCACTCGCAGAAGGGGGAGGGACGTGCCCCAGTGACTCCCCCAGACAGGCGTGACGTGTCTCTGCCCGCACTGGGAAGGCTCATCTGTCTCCATTCTGGTCTCCATGGAAACCTTAGAAGCAGACAACACTTGGCCTGGCTGAGCTGCCTTTTCAATGAAAAGCTAAGTGTTAATAAGAGGGTATCTTTCCAGATAGCCCTGCAGACCCTTCTCTGCCTTTAAATACGGGGGCTGCCCAGCAGGGAACACCAACAGGCTCTCCCGGCAGGTCCCTGGTGGGCGGTGTCCTGCCCCAGTGCTTCCCAGGCTAGGATGTGAGAGAGTGGGACACCTGATTCCACCGCTCCATCCTTTCCACCTTGAAGGATCACTTTAGGATTGAGCAATAACTGCTCTGTGCATTCACAGACGGATTCAAAATGGAAATAGAAACAGGATGGCCCAAACCTATGCCAACGCATTTTGGTTTGTATGAGATCAAGACAGGAGTTGGTCCTGGATTAGCTAAGCATCACGGTTACACGTTCTGTCAAAGTTTCACTCTCATCAGTAGCACAGGGCACGTTCTGGGTGACCTTGGACACCCTTTGCTTTCTGCAGATAGACTTAAAGAAACTAGGCGATTGAGCCCCTAGGATTATGGGACTCAATGCCTAAAAATAAGGGCTGGCTTCCTGCTCCGGTCAGTCCTCACCTGTCCATTTCAAGGGTGTGCTGGACCACATGCATAAAACAAGGCAAAACATTTCCTGTCAATTCAGGTCACAAATGGGGAGGAGAGAGACCCATCAGCCACCTTCTTCCTGCTTTTCCTTGCCTTCCACATTCATGGCATGTAACTCACAAGAAGGTGACTTCCTGGTCAGACTTCAAAGAACCGAGTACATGTGTCACCTGCCTGTTTAAACCATTTTCATGCTAAGATTGTCTACACACACAAACATTAGTTCTTTTTATTGGGTGTGGGGGATAAAAGTTGAATCCAATATACTGTTCCTAAGACAATGGGTGGGCAGCTGTCAGTAGCCACCAACTGTCCAACTCTTTCCCCATGGGTGTACAGTCCCAGGGTCCCCGCTAAGGGTCCCAGCTGGATAATATTTGGGTTAAAGCAGCCACCACTACCAAGTGGAAAGGAGTCACCAGGTCTGGGCCACAGGTTACTGCAGCCTCAATTTGGGCAGGCCTGAAATGTCCCATGGAGACCGTCCCTCTTCCTCTGCGAGGAGCCCCACATCCAGTGGTCAGCAAGCAGGTGGACGCATGGCTCTCCACTGCCACCAGCACTCTGCATCTTCGACAGTGACCGCACTGTCGTCCACTGGGGACCTCTCAGGAGGAAGGGCCTGAGCACAGCCCGTGGCATCCTTTGGTGATACACAGGACAATCCAGCCTCCGCCCTCAGGGGCCCTAGGCCTGGGAAACACAGCCCTGGGCCGGCCAGGGGGCGGTGGCAGGGTGTCTGCCCGGGAGCCCAGCTGCCTCCCTCTTCTCCGGGCCACCTCCCTCTAAACCCTCCGGCGGGAGAGTGGTCCTCACTCAGACACCGGCAGGATGTTCTGGCTGTGAGAGTCACCTGTGAGCCCCGAGGAGCGGATGGAGCGTCTGTGGAGGACCCTGTTGAGAATCTCCCGGCAGCTTCTGCGGTACTGGTGTCTCAGCAGGCAGTACACGAAGGGGTCCGAGGCGGCCTTGCCGTAGGCCAAGCACTTGGACAGCACCCCCCAGTGGGGGCCAATGGGCGCCGCGGAGAAGATCTCCACCAGCCTGCGGAGAGAGAGACGGGGACGTCACTGTCACTCACAGCATAGCCATGCACGGACGTGGGCAGCCACAGGCAGGCTCCAGTCTGCACCCACCCACGGCTTCCTGGCCACGGGCCCTTGCTCAGAGACCACCTCTCAGGCAGCAAGGACAACAGCAGCCATGATGGTGGGCAGCCATAGGCTCTTCTTTTATTCTAGACATTGCACCCTTGAACTTGGGGGACGTGACATATCTCTTTATTTTTTTCCTTTATTCTTTTTTAATACTGGGGAGTGAGTCCAGGGGTGCTTAACCACTCATCCACATTCCCAGCCCTATTTTTTGCATTTTATTCAAAGACAGGGTCTCGCTGAGTCGCTTAGGACCTCACTAAGTTGCTGAGGCTGGCTTTGAACCCCTGCCTCGGGCTCCTGAGTGCTGGGATTATAGGTGTGTACCACCGTGAAAGCTTTATTTCTATTTCACAGATAAAGAAACATGTCCCAGGAGGTCAGATAATTCGCCGGTCAACTTTGCATGGCTGGCCAACTGCAAAGGCAGAATTTGAACTCAGCTCTGACCAACTCTAAATCCCAAGCTTCACTATGAAACAGACTGTTAGCTCATGGTGCTCTGGCTTTGGCTCCAGCTCTGAGGCTCACCTGGTGTGACCCTGGGAATATCTCTCCACACCTTAGAACTCAGGTCTTATATGAAAAGCCAGAAGTGTAGGCGAGATGGTCCCGCCATCTTTCCCAGCGGCAGAGTCTGGCACGACTGCCCGGAGCCTGCTCTGCCTTCCTAGCAAGGCCGTGCAGGAAAGGGGTGGGGGTCATTGGTGACACTGCCTGAAGCTCAAAGCAGGACAGAACCTGCTGGCTGAGAAGGTTGGGATTCTGGGGGGCTCTGATAAGACCAAGGTCCGGGTACCCTGAAATGACCCTCATTCACTGGGGGAGGACAAAAGAAGTCACAGCTCTTGTGTCCAAGGGTACAATTCTCAGGGTCCTCCTGGCACTAGTCAATGATGCCAATGCCAGGTTGTGAGGGGTGAGAGCCTCCTGCTGCATAAACAGACACGTTAGTGTTCAGCACCCTCGTATCTGGCCATGGTCCAGCATGAACATGGGATTTAAAAACAAACAAACCAAGACTCAGAACTGGGGGAGAGTTTGGAGATCATAAACCACCCTCTCCCCTGCCCATTGTAATCAAGACCCAGAGAGGGGAGGATGTTGCCCAACATCACACAGCACATCAGTGGCCACAGTAGATCCAGGCCTGTATTCTACTCTGAGATTCTTGCACCTTCTTCTACCTGAGTATCTGCAGGATGGATCTCAGCAGAGCTGAGCCTGAGCTGAGCTCTGCTGCCGGCTTTAGCTGGACATCCTGATCCCCAGGGAACTGTGGGGCTCCATTCCTCCCCGGGACTGCCCCTTTCCCGAACAGATCTCCAGCGAGTCCCTCCAGCGAGTCCATCCGAGGCCCTTGGCTGCCTTTCCATTTCCCTCTCCCTTGCCCCCCGCCCCCAGGGCACAGTGGATACGTCTCCTCTCAGGTCCTCGGGAGCCTGATGGGACTGTGCGCATTTGGGAAATACGTTCTTTTATGAGACCTATTTTTGAGAAGTGATGAATTTAAAGAGACAAAATCCTTGAATTTAGAATCCACAGCTCATGCTCACAGAGAACTAGCTGGGGGCCAGCACACGGCTCTGAGCCTGGCCGGCTCGTGCCCCAGCGTGCCTAGCCTTCTACGGGTAACTTTTGTAACTCTCCCCCAAATTAAAGAGCTGAATATCATCAACCCATCCAGCGAGAGCAAAATCATCATCTGACTATTCTGAAGATTTCACAGAGTAAAGTTATTCAGAGCAGTTTTAAATTTCATCATTTGGAAAATGGAGATGATCTATTTATGGCACTTGGAAACCTCTGTCGGCTCTACACGAACACTCCCCAGTTAGGGTCCTCCTTGGGTCAAGCCCTTGATGGACAATCTCTGATCTTACAATTCTCCTGCCGAGAGGATCATTATCCCCATCTTACAGGCAGGGACATCGAGGCTCAGAGAGGCTGGGCGGCCAGCCAGAGTCTCCATCCAACCACAGTCCAAGGCCTGGCGAGGCCACCGTGGGACCTGACTCTCAGCACCCAGGGTGAAGAAGACGTGCTCCGAGGCCCCTCGTAACTCCAAGAGCCCCTTCCCCACAGGGTCGACGCGTGCTGTGCAGGACTTGGCCTCTCGCCTCTCCCTACAGCGCACAGGGCAACGACTGCTCTGAAAAGCCAGGTCTCTCCTTCCTCCGGCCCCAGGCAAAGGGAAGCTGGGTGAGCGCAGAGCTGGACGAGGCTCCCTGTGGTCTCCAGCAGGGGGCGCTGGGATGTCCCCCTCCGTGGAGTACCTTGCCCCATCCTGGCTCCATTCCTTTTCGGGGGCTGAGAAGAGGCGAGGGTGTCCATACTGCCCAACTGTTTCTTCCTAATTCCAGATCTGGGTAGGTGTCGGGCTGACCACAGGGTCCCTCCCAGATGACCTTTGATAGAGGGAACACTTTAGCCCATCTTCTAACACCAAGTCCCCTCCGCCACTGCTTCCTACACGGCTTCCTACACCCTCCTCGACAAGACAGGATTCTGTGACTCAGATCAGTCCCAGTCTACACTCTACACTCCTCCATGCTACACGAGTGGCGTATTTCAGTCCCCTGCCCACCCCTCCCTCTGGTGGTCACAGTGAGTTGGTGGCCTCAGCATTTGACAGACGGGGCAACTTGCAGAGCAGCAGCCCCCCACAGGTGCAAGCCCCCCGGCTGGCTGCCATCTAGCAAGGGACCTGGAGTTATTGGGCTCAGGTGTTAATACAGCGAGACAGCATTTCCTCTTGTCACGACACCTGTGATGAGCTAAATTGTGTCACCCTCCAATTCGTACGATGAAGTCATACCTCCAGCACCTCAGAACTGCGACCTTTGAAAACAAGGTCATTGCAGATGTAATTAATGAAGAGCAGGTCTGAGGGAGAGGGTGGGCACGGCTGACCCCACAGGACTAACATCCTCAGGCAAGCCGAGAATCTGGGCACAGACACACACACAGGAAGGACAGCAGGTGACAACGAAGGCAGAGGTTGGGGAGAGGCATGTCAGGGAATGCCAGAGGCCACCAGCACACAGCCAGGAGAGAGGCCCAGGGCAGTTGTCCCTCACAGTCCCAGAAGGAAGCAGGCCTGTCCACACCACCACCCTGGGCCTCCAGGACCACATGTAAGTGCCTTCCTGTTGTTTAAGCCCTTCTGTTTGGGGTACTACTATGGCAGCCCTAACAAACTGAGACCCCAAAGGCACCCACAGGGGTGAGGGATGGTTGTAGCATTTGGATTTCCTGGAGTCCCTGGCCACAACATCAAAATGGCACCTCGCCCCACCCCATTCCTAGAGCCCTGTGTGTACCAAGGGCGACGCTGGGGGTTTGCCAAAGCTCCTTCCCCAGCCTCCAGGAAGCAGGGCTTGTCCCCATACGCACTGTTCCTACTACCTGCCAGACCTGCCCATTAGGCACCAGGATGGCTTCCCACGTGCCCCCTGGGTGTAAAGCGGACAGGCATTTTGAGCACATGACAAGCGCATCTCCACCCCTGGTCTCCTGTGAGCAGGCCAGGTGAGGGGACAGCACTGGGATGGGAGAGCACAGGCAGGGGCGGGGCTCAGCTTTTTAAGCATTTCAGGCAATTCCAG